ATGTTTTTAGTTTTTCTTAGTTTTCTAGCATCAGGTCATGTTCAGATATATATTTCTAAACCCTTAAAATACCTACGCAAATGCATCTCTAAATTTAATATAGTGTAACTTTCGAAGATATATCTTCGAAAACATAGGACATTTTTGACATCTCGTCAGAAATCTTAGAGAAAGTATAAGGATGCAATAAAAAATTCCCTTATTTAATCAAGGAAAAATACCCTTTTTAGTCCCTTAACTTTACCTCTGGGTCCATTCTGGTCTCTTATCTCTAAAAAGTTCTAAAGTGGTCCTTTAATTGTTCAAAAAGGACCACAGTAGTCCTTTTCGTCCAAAAGGCACAAACAGACGTTTGTTTTGTATGTGTGGCAGCTGATGTGGAATCCTATTTTCATCATCTTCGTTCTCCTCTTGCAGGCTACGTCGTATTTTCATCTTCTTCGCTCATTTCTTTCTCTTCTACCCCATACTCCCCCAAATTCTAGGGTTCAACAAATTTCTTCCCCTTATGATTTTGTAATTGCTTGAGGAAAATGAAGCAATCTTCGTACGATTCGAAATGGCTGTGGAGATGGTAATTTGCGATGGAAACCCATATGTGGCTGTGGAGACACGGCTGTTCTTCGAAAGGGCTTCAAATCACACGAATTTTGGGAAGCAATTCTGGGGTTTTCGTCATTATAAGGTAAGAAAGAAATTAAATGGCTTACTCATTTTTTTTATCTATCCAAATTTGGACTGATACAGGGTTCATCTGAAACTGGATGTGGATACTTTCAATGGTTCTATGATGATGTTGTGGATGAGAAAGAGCAGTTTATAAAGAAGCAAAATAGTAGGTTAGAGAAGCTTTAAAATGACCTTGATGCAGCAAAAATGGAGATACTATCTTTAAAGGAACAAAAGGATGGACTGAAACAAAAGATAAGGGGGTTACAAATTGAAATGAAGAAAATGATGAATTCTGAAGAAGAAAAAATGGAAAAGAATGTTTTGTATGTTGTTAATTTTTGTCATTTGGGTGATGTTGTAAATTACAGTATCGTTTGTAATATCATTTGAAAAGAAGATGATGTTGTTAATTTATGAAGTTGTATGTTCTATTTGTATCATTTTGTTATGAATTTTGGAACTGTTGTAAATTCCAGTATGCAACTGTATGAAACTAGTGTAAATTCCAGTATGAAACTGGTTTAATTTTGGAACTGTATTTTTGATGAATTTTGTAAACAATACAGAATTTTGAATACATAATTTTGAATGAAGTCAACAACAATACATAAGGTGGTGGATACCACTAATATTCATTAATTTCATGTTCAAAAACCTGATATTACAGGTCCAAAAACACTACTATTACAGATCCAAAAACCATACTTTACATGTCCAAGAAACCTGATATCACAGGTCCAAAACAACAGTAGACAGTACAGGTCCAAAATAGCTTAACTAAAGTTAACATAAACTAACATACCCATTACATAAAAGACATTAATCTAAGGTTTCCATTTTGTTGCGGTTCTCTTAATAGGTGTCTTCCTTCTTGTTGTTGGACCTACAACAGTTTTAGATGCATTCAACCTAGTTGTTGGACCTACAACAATTTTAGATGCATTCAACCTAGTTGTTTGACCAGGTGGGACAAAAGGTGAATTTGGCCTTCTAACTTGCAACTTTTCGGATTTGCGATTCACTTTCTTGGATGATTGAGAAGCAGGTGGCTGGGATGCCTGAGCTGGCCGGGATGCTTGAGCTGGATGGGATGCTTGAGCTGGTTGAGATGCTTGAGCTTGTTGGGATGCTTGAGCTTGTTGGGATGCTTGAGTTGGCGGAGATGCTTGAGCTGGCTCTAGATGAGATGCTTGAGTTGGCTGAGATGCTTGAGTTGGCTGAGATGATTGTGATGGCTGAGATGCTTGACTAGTAGATAGTATCTTGCAAGTTAGCTTGTTGTGTCCTGCTTTCTTACACCAGCTACACTTTATAATGAATCCTGTCATTCTCATCTTTTTATCAAAACCATCCACCTCACCTTGCTCTAAATTCCTCCTTTTTTTGGCCTGCCAGACATTTTCCTAAATTTGGGGGCAGAATATCAGGATTGGACTGCATAAGAGGTAATGGCTTCCTTGAGAGTTTCTGTTGTACTAAAGTAGGTTTCCACTTTCCATTTGTAATTGCCCATATCCTTTTGAAGCTTGAAAACTAGATACTTCTTTCTCCTAACTCTACTGCTATCATCATTATCACAGTCACTTCCTAGATCATCACTTTCATTATCACTTCCTGTGATATCTTCTTTGTTTGCTTCACACTTTTCTTTACCTTTTTTCCTTTCCATGTGTTCATAGTTAATTAGGTTACCCTCTTCCTCTTCCAAATCAATGTCATACTCATCAGAGTCATCATCAAATACTACCTTTGTTGCACTATCATAGTTGAAGGTGCTATCATCAGAACTATCATCATCATCAGTCAGTCTAACAGCATCATCAACCTCATTAGCGCTATGTCTAATATCATCACTTTCAACCTCATCAACCATTGGCACATTATCACCAGTTCCTACTGCATGAACACCATCTTGCCCAACACAATGCATGCTAACATCATTTTCCCTAACATCACCATCTTCCCTTACATCACTTTCATTCAACATCTCTTCAAGCGCAACTACTGCCTCATCAACTATCACATTAAGGGGTACCTCATCTAACACAACTTCAGTCTCATCAGCATAATCAAGTTTTGACAATGTGTGTTGAATAAAGACTTCAACACTAAGATGAACCCAATATAGATCAGTAATCTCTAATGCCCCCTTGTCATCAACCAACATATTCATCCCAGCAGTAGGATCCTTGTAATATATATTCTCTACATCTGCATAACCTAGCTCTTTAATAGCACCTATCAATCAAAATAGCTCCACTTATCAACATCTACTCTCAAATCAGCAATCTCACCTCCTTCGTAAACACTCGTGTCCTCAGTAACAAATTCGCCACTATGGTGTATTGTAATGTTGAGATACTCATCCATTTCAGACTAGGTCCTAAATGAACAGGAAGATATTTGATTTCAAAAACATTGATTTCAAAAAATCCTAACTACGAAAATCATAGTTTTGCAGAAACTTACCTACGATGAGCAGTGTTGTGGTTGATTTCACCTTCGCTTCGCTTCGATTGTAATGTTGTGGTCGGATTGTGCTTTCGCTTCGCTTGCAGCTTGTTCGCAGATTGGAGCTACCAACAATGGCTGCCAAAGGATTACCTTCTAAGTGTTGGAGATGTAATCTGATCCTTTAACACATGCAATGCTATAACCTTTTTTTAAATAGTTTAATCCACCTGGACGAAAATGTAAACACGTGCAATGCCACATATATGTCACATAAGCTCTACCATTGACTTTAACTAACGGTCCAGACGGAAAGGATAAACGTGGTCATTTTTGAACAATTAAAGGACCACTTTGAAACTTTTTAGAGATAAGGGACCAGAATAGGTCCAGAGGTAAAGTTAAGGGACTAAAAAAGATATTTTACCTTTAATCAATAACATCCTATGCTATTGTTAATCCTCCAATTTTACTCAATGACATGCTATGTTATTTTTAGACTAACCTCCATTTTTGTTTAATAACATGCTCATTGACATGATCCGACTATTGGATTCCACCTCATATTTTAGACAGAACGAAATTTCTTATGATTTCAAAAACCGTCTTTGTACATATGTTTTTGGACTAACCCCTATTTTTGTCCAATAACATCATCATAAATAATTGGGTCATGTTAGCATGTGTCATAAAGTCACATGTTAAAGATATTATAATTAGAAAATTTTAAATATAATTAAATTTAATAATATTATATTTAAAATTTCAACACATGAAATACATGTGTTCTAAAAAAATATTTTTATAAATAATTTATTAACTTGTGTACTTGAGACTCGTGTTAGCTTTTTCCTAAATAATTTTGACAATTAACCAATGGATATAAAAGTTATTGTCATTAGGCATCATTGTAACATTGTTGTCAATTCCCTCAATAATACTTTCTCCGTTATCATTGTAACATTGTTGTCAATTCCCTCAATAATATTTTTTCCGTTTTAAAATAATTATTGTTTTAACAAATAAATTGAATGACTATTGTTTTAACAAATAAATTGTTTTAAAATGACGGTCATTTTCACCTTTCAATTTAGTAATAATTATTATTTTTTCAATTTTTTATTTTTATTTTTTACTTTTTACACTACTACTAATATAATATTAATATGATTAATTTTATAAAAGTATAATATCTTTGACAATATTACGTTCCTTAATTTGTGTGTTAAATCCATAAAAGCCAATCATTTAATTTGTGTTAAATCCATAAAAACCAATCATTTTGAAACAGAGAAAAGTGTCTGTTGTCGTCGCACCCTACTTACAACGAATATGTGGTTTTCTATTCCCTTGTCAACTTTTTGGACTGATTCCTTTTCTTGTTTAAAAATCTGATTCTTTTACAGAATGGAGAAGCTACGTAAGTGTAGACCACTGAATGGCTACATTTAGCTTCGAATCAAGATATTCATATAAAATATTAACATTAAAATAAAAGTTAATCTGATAGCATAAAAAGCAAGCAAAAATACTACCAAGACACACCATTTTTGTATAAACCCATCCCAATCTGGACAATAACACTATAATTACGACTGCTCCTAGCTTATGGAAATCTACAGATAATAATGTAAAAGTGCAAGGTGTAAGCATATGCTAACTAGAATGAAATATTAGACAGATTCAACATTTTTCATGTTACATTGAGGAGCCAGTACATGTATACACACATCTTCAGGGAAGGGGTGATTGGGGTTTGGAGGAAAACTTCATATATAGGGCCTGGATCCTAATCTATTGACCACAAAGGGGACCTGTGTTTAACATTAATCACTAGAAGGGTTTACTCATTGTTTCATTATCTCTTTACATATGTGCTAGCCGGAATATGGGAAGCCGAGTCCAGTTTGCCGCCTGATATGTTCTGGGATGAGTTTATTGATCAGTTCAGGAGATGCTCCAGAAAACTGCAGTTATAGTTTACACATATATCAGATTTATTAGCTAATTTAAAAGCCACTAACATACCAGATATATGATGTGTTTGGAAACGCAATGACAGCCTCAATGCTCAGTGTTTTTTAAACTATAACTTGGAGCTTCTTTGGTGAGGACCTTCAACCGCAGTTCCAAACATTTTATTAATAGAAGAACCCGATTTAGCAACTAGATACATACTTCCTGTTTAAAGTTGAAGAGTGGAGGCAGAGGACGACCATTAGGAAGCCGGGCGTTGGGCTCTCGAAGCTCATCAAAGAAAGGATGTGCACATGCTTCCAGCTGATTAATAAAATCCATGAGCAATTTTTGAATAGTTTTACAACAAATGAGTATAGTGAATTCTCCATTTGGGATTTACCATAGAAACTATCATATACTAAAATATGGCATACTAAGGCATGCAGAGCTAATCCTCATAGAAACGAGAAAGAAATAACATAATTTTGTATGGGTTCCCCCACTTACCGCACTGCAACGAAGACTTGGTGAGTATTGAAGAAGCCTTGATGCAAGGTCAATTGCTTCAGGAGGCATTCGCTTGTGAAAAACCTGAAACATGGATCATTCAGCCAACTCCATCAATCACCATAACAAAATAGCACCTTGAAAACTCGTTGTAATAAAGTAAAAGGGGCACTGGCAGAGTATGCAACTACCTTATGCCAAGGATGGGCTTTAATCTGAGGAAATCTAAAATCAGTATAATCAGGGTTCATACAACGAATTTCTTCTCGAGTTGGAGTACCAAGAACCTACAAGAAGACGCCTGAATAAACATCCTTGTAACTATAGATTCATTAAGGCACCATCAACATACACAAGGCATTACCTTAATAATTTCCACAAGTTGATCCACCTGATTTGTTCCTGGGAACAATGGCTGAAAAACATTTGAAACTATGAGAAGTCAAGATAACATCTGTCATAAGTCATAACAAAGAGAGAACAGTTATTATGTACAAGAAATATTAGTGTATAAGTTTCCAACAAAGTTTAACAACCTGGCCTAGAAGAAGTTCTGCAAGGACACAACCAGCTGACCAGATATCAATAGAAGTTGTGTATTCTGTAGCACCAAATATTAGTTCTGGGGCCCGATAGTATCGTGAACATATGTATGAAATGTTTGCTTCACCCTTAACCTGGCATAAAAGTATTATCGTTACACTTTTATCTTTCTTAGTAAAAAATAACTAGAAGCAAAGTCCTAAGTAGGCAGCTCAGTTTTTGGTAAGCTGAGGGATGCTGAAAGTGTTCTAGGAGGACTGGGATTAAAACCTAGCAACTAAGATGGCCACTAATTTATTAACATTTACCTATAAAAAAATAACCAGAACCAAAATTGGCATCCCTCAGGGGTCCAGGTTAATAGCAACAATGACATCTTAATGAATATTAAATGAAATGTCACTATCACTAATTTAAAATTAAAAGTGCACTTATGGACAATAAGTCGTATCTTATTCGGACTGATAAAATACATGCGGTTATAGTTAAAACTGCTAGAAGAAAACCGAAATAACTGGTTATAGTGGGCATAAGGAAACTAGATGAGATATATTATTTTTATGCATATGTTTATAAAGCACTTTCCTAAGTTTCCATTTTTTGAGATAAGATAAGAAAATAAGCAAAAAATTACCACTTGAAATATATAATTGAAAATAATTAATTCACAAATCAATTATTATGGACGAACAAAAATAAAAATATAGTTACATAGGTAAGAAATCAACTCATCAGATCCTAAGGAGCTTTTATAATTATTAATGGGTAGGTAGCATAGGACTTTAATATTCCAACATTAAAAGGGTAGTATGCATATATAAAGTAATAATATGCACAAAAAAGAATGCAGACCGACATACCAGAACTTTCGCACTTCCAAAATCGCAAAGCTTAACTTGGTGAGTGAGAGGATCAACCTATGGTACAAACACAATAAGTATAAAATAAAAGAATGCAGCTCATCGACAAAAAAATAGCAAATAAATAACTTACTAATAGATTTTGGGGTTTCACATCCCTATGGCAAACCCTCGGTACAGTATGAATATATGCCAGTCCTCTAAAGATCTAAACATCACATCCCAACAAAATCATTATATAATTTCAAATGAACAAGAGAGAAACAGCATACCCAACCAAAATGCAGATAGAGAAGACTTCATACCTGATATGTATATAATTTCACATAGATTAGGGGCATTCTCTGGTTGATATTATTGTAGTGATTTAGAACTCGGTACATCGTCTCAGGCACATATTCCATCACCAAGTTCAGAAACAGTTCGTCTCTGCTTGTTGTAGAGAAGAAACAGTGCTTCAAAGAAATTACATTTGGGTGATCCATCACGCGCATTAACTGCAGCTCACGATTTTTGTACCGCTTGTCCTGCAAAACTTTCTTTATAGCCACTGCCTCTGCAGTCTCCAAGCACTTTGCCTTTGTTTCAGGTAAAAAAGGTAGATACACAACCCAGGGATGTGAAGAAATATTAGATACTTGACAGCTGAGAAAGCATAGAAGGAGTTATCACCTTAAAGTTTATTACTTATCCTTACCTGGAAAACTATTCCAAATGAACCCGTGCCAACAACACGTTCGGCCATGTAACTGATTGTCTGCAAGTGGTAATAGAGCATAAATTTATGGAGTAATGAAACATGAAGTCGCTATTGTCAATAATTATTGAACCATCAATGCAATTACATTGAATTTCTTCAAAATTAAACCTTTTAAGATCCAAAATAACAAATATGAGGAACCAAAAATAATTATTTGGCATAAAAGGTAATGGGAAAAACCTATTATATTTGATAGGATCAGAGAAAATAACCCAGCTTCTAGGTGACAACTAGTATTATATATCTAGATGGATCGTCTAAAAAAAAAAGAAAAAGATAATTTTCACCAATAATACCCAATCCAAAAATTTAGTTCTTCTCGTCCCATAAAGGAAGTAAATTGTTACACAGATTTTAGAAATTGGAATTTAAGATTGAAGGTGAAAATAAGCCCACACCCGTTTAGGTTCACCATTTTTGCCTCCAATAGTAGTTGAAATTATGTGACCAGTGACTGCATCATTACTGTCAACGACAGTAGCTGCCATTTCCTGCAATTAATAACAATTAATATATCTTTAATATGGCAAATCAACTCTCCTAAAACAGAAATACAAGAACAGACTCTTTCCCATACAATATCTGTAATTGCTTGTAGAATTAATAACTAACTTCCGAAATTGGCTTAATAACTTATCACCAATATTTCCGTTTAAAAACATTTACTTAACATGCCTATCAGATATCACATTTATGACAGAGCAGCAAAGTTATTAATGGACATGAACATACACAGCCAACTTAGTAGTCAATAGACTCAATACTTCGGACGCATTCTCCTGTGAGTTAAGATCAGATGTTGCAAGTTTATCTAAAGAAAAAAGACATTCATACATATCAAAATTCCACTTTAATTTAAAGTGTTATAGGAAAGTGAAACTCACAGCAATGGAACTTCACCAACAGAAATAAACCACCACCACAAATCAGAAAGCAAAATCAAAGATGGGTTAAGTGTAAAGAGTTCAAAGGTATATGTACATGTAAAGTAATATCATGCTACCACAATTCACAAGAAAGCATCACATGGCAAAGTAAAGCTTCAACATCAATTAAGAGACAATGCAGAGAGAGAGAATCTAAGGACACTAATTCCCTGAAGCAAATTAAAACCATTAGAAACAAAAACCCACCAACAAATCAAGGAGACTCCATTCTAAGCAAGGAACCAAATATATAAATAGATATTATACCAAAATAACACAACAAACAAAAATCACAAAATTATCAATGTCATTTTAATTTCACATTAAGTTTACCTCCCTTAATTGAAAATACGACTTCTCTAAAAAAATCTAGGAGATAAATTGCAACACATTCCAACCCTAAAAAAGTCTACATGAATATGATGGATGAAAAATTACAAGTACACACAACAGTTTGGTTAAGCCAATTTGATATTCAGCTAAGCACCTAGTCAGATACTGTCCCTTTCCTATGCAATTTTCAAGAACTGAAAAATAAAAAGCCTAAATTAAAGAACAAAATTCCACAATTTCATTTCATTTTTCCTTTTCTTTTTCTGGACCACTTAACAAAAAGCCTCATAAACTTCAATTTTCAACCCTAAGATCTCAACAGTTAAAGCAGAACCACAATCAAAAATAAATAAAGTATCCTTTCCTCCAATGTTTAAATTACACAATTCCTTTAAGAAGAAACCATCACTACTATTCTAGGTCACCGTGATCTTCACCGGAGAACAAAACCGGCGAATACAGTTAACCCTCGGAAGTAACATAAACTAGCAGATCGCCGGTGACAAAGCTCAGACAGAGGTTTACACGGTGGATATATAAACACCGATCCAAGAAACAGTAACAGTAGTTGAAAACGGCACAGTAACTAACTACAATGAGAGATGAAAATTTACCTTATCAGTCTCCATACCGGAGACTACACTAACTGCCGTCGCCTTCGGTGGTTCATTCACAGTTTGCGGCTGTTGTAACGGTAACGGTAAGGGAGGTGGTGGTCGTTGCAGTGGTTGATGGTGGTTTGGCCCCGACGGCATGGAGGCCATTTCAGAGAAGTTTAACATAACAAAACACTCTCACACTCTAGCTTCTCTCTCTAGATTCTCTCTTTCTCTCTCTAGTTTCTCTCTCATAAACACAAACACTTTTTTCTCTCTCTATGTTTCGAGGGAATAGTAGTGTTTTGAGTTCAGCGTGATGCTTTCTAGATAAAGGAGTGAGAGGGAGAGTAGTGTGTGTTTCAGAATCTGCTCCATATCACGCGCGTTTTACAGAGAGTGAGAATCACGTTTTGATATGAACGGTTGGATGGTTGTAACTGATGATGGAGATTGGAATCTAGTGTTGTAGGGTGCAGGGAAAATGTAATAGGGATGCTGACGTGGAGAATCGGATGGCGATTGGCGACAATGTTTGTGATCACTTGAAAGAAATGGTATTTGGGAGTTAGTAATGATAATGACGTAATGAATGTAGACATAAAATACTTTAGTTTAATACACTTATACTAATTTTTTAATTATGTTTAGTGCTCCAGCAGGTTTGGTGACTTTAGTTTATTGAGTTTTAATCTCAGTCGTATCAATGTTTTATAATTTTTCTTGACATAATTAATTATCACTTTAATTTTTATGGACTTTATTTATTTCTTAAATATGATCAAGTAAATATCTAGAAACATTTATTATTTTTATTAATTTATCTTTATTGTCTTTAAATATAAAATTCTCTTTCAAAAAATATTAGTTTTTTTTCATAACTCCAATTAATATTACCAATTTATTTTGAATATTAAATACATATAGACTACCTGACAAATATTGAAACATACCACTAAATATTTTAAATTATTCTTTAACTCATTTTTCATTTACACTAAGTAGTGCTCTTCTATGTAATTGACTAAAAATATATTTGGTTGTCCAACGAAAATTAAAGATTTTACCGAGTGTCAACTACATCCTATTTTCAATAGATTCTTTCTCTCATTTTTTTTCAAAAAAAATGATTTATTTTGTTTCTTTCTCTCTCTTTCTCGTCTACCTCTTTCTCTCTCTTTCTCGTCTACCTCTTTCTCTCTTAGTGTTCTCTCTTTCACCCAAATTCTTAATCGACTGGTTCGGGCAGAATTTGAGTGAGATGGGGGAAGAGTACCTGCAAGACACTCTGATGCTAAAATGAATGACGGAATGAGCAAACAAAGAGTGTATGTATGCGTAAGAGATGAATATCTGACCCTCTAGGAATAGAGGGTATTTATAGCCCTCAGCGCTGGGCTAAGGTCCCCTCATTGGACCGACCAGAACTGGTCCAATAAAAGAACTGCCAGGTTCTACGTGTGTAGTGGAGCCCCGCACGTGGTCCCCTTCCTGGTGATGTTGTGCGAAGAATAAGGAGGGACGAAGACGCGGTCTTTCCGGAGTTTAGATGATTCGATAACGGTCAAGGAGGACAGAATCTGCCCTACGGGAAGAGTGCTCGAGCAGGACACGAACTGGAGTTCCTCTGGTCGGGGACACCATATGTCGCGGGCAATGGCGGGCATGGCTACAGTATGTGGTCGGGCACGTCGACGGTGATCCGCAGGTGTGCATTTCTCGAGGAGTTTGCTTGGATTGGGCCTTTATCTGCGCTTTGGGCCAGGGCGGGCCCAATCCAGAACAGGAGCCCCCAAGTCGTTGCTCCTGGGGCAGGAGTTATGACTTGACTTCAGCCCGCCTTCACCATGGGGATTTGATGCCCGGATCAGGATATTGCTTTCTGATACGTGCTCACAGAGTTTCTCACGGGCTGCATTTGTAGTGCAATCCACGTCGACGCGTGCTCGGGTGGATTCCTCGCGGGCTGTGTTCGTTGGACACACGAGGCAATCCTTGGGAACCGTGATGCCACCCTAGTGACAGTAAGGTCATCATTGCCTAGGGGATTAGGTGTCGAGGAGGAGAAGTTTGTGGCTTCCTGGGGTGACGTTTTGTATTCCACGTCATCCCTATAAATAGGACCCTTGGGTCCCATAATTTGTTTTTCTTCTTCGCGTTTCTCCTTCTTCCTCTGCATCCGTCGCCGTTGTTTTTCTACAACATCGCAAGATTACCGCACCTTCCTCCGTTGACTTCTTTCAATGATGCCATACATTCTTCTTTGCTTCCAAGTAAGTGTTCATTCCTCATGTTTTTCTTTGTTGTAGGTAGTTTTACCGTTATTTGGATGTTAGAAACCCATATCTGGGATTAGTGCCCGGTATATTCATGTTCGTGCCCGGTGAACCCATAGTTTTAGGTACGTGACTCGCAATGCAGCCCGTGACCTTCATAATTTTAGGTGCACGATATGTGATTCTGCCCGTGATATTTGTAGTTTTAGGCATATGATCTATGATACTGCCCGTCACATTCATGATTTTGGTCGGCGCACCCATGAGCTGGCGGGGATGTTGACCCCTTAGCAAGTGTGTAGGACAACTCGTCGTAGCATCTTAGTGTCGGGCAGGCAAAGTCAGGGCCTTGCTCGAGTCATCCATGTTTATCGCTCGGGGTGTTCATGTTATTCCCTCGTTGTTTCTGACGCCTGGTCGAGCTGGGGTGTCCGTGTTTGGCTTGCCGCACGCTACTTCCCGTCATTGTGGCGAGCATGCGGATTTGCTCTCGAATTTCACCGGTTTCCTGTGCTTTGCAGGTAAATGGCCAACGAACCGGAATCTTTGAGGCGTAATGAGGTCGAGGACCAAAGTACCGAAGAGAACGTGACTCTAGTTGATATCGTCGATGACCCCTCGTTGGATCGGGTGGGCGCCGAGCCCTGAGGGATTGCCTCGGCATATTGTCGGCGTAGTCGGCACGCATACACTGTCGTCAAATGCGGCGGTAGTCAGCCAGGTTTCCAGAAGAATTTTATTGTGACGAGGCCGTCCATCGATGCACGAATCTGCTCGGAGTTCACCGAGTATGGGTTTCCAATGTACGATATCGTGTTTAGAGATCTCGGTCTCACGCTTCCTTTCAGTGATTTCCAAGTCGGGGTGTTCTGCCATCTGAACTTGGCCCCTTCCCAACTTCATCCTAATTCGATCGCCTTCCTTCGGGCGTTCGAGCTGACATGCTGCTTCTTGAGGATCGGGACGACCATTCCCCTTTTCTTCAGAGTTTTTCACCTGCAGCGTCAGTCTCGAGGAGGCAGGCATAGTTGGGTTTCCCTGAAACAGTCGAAGAGGTTATTCAGGATGTACATGGATTCAGTCCGGGGCTTCAAGGACAAGTGGTACGTTCTGCAGCCGGTCACCCAGACTGCTTTGGATTCTATGTATGAAGAGGAAACTGCGATAGTCGACGAGAATGGGGAACCCCTCATGGATGCCGAAGGTCGACCGACAATGGGGCGCGTATCCAAGTTCCCGTTACATTGGTGATCGGGCCATTACGACCATGGTACCGGGTACTACCACACGCCCGCGAGAAGCATGTGCGCCGAGGATGAAGAAGCCTATGGTATCCCTTGCAAGTATGTCGACAACTTCTTCCCTGCCTGGTGGGTCACGATGGAAGGGGAAGATATTCTTGACGAGGAAGGGTACCCGACGTTCGAGGCCCATCCCATCGCCACAAAGGCGCTCGTTGAGTGCCAATCTTACGGGCGGGCCGTAGATTTATTAGGTTTCTTGCTTTTGTTTTGTTGTTTTATTCCATTTTCGTTGTTTTTTACTTGCTCGCAACTAACCCGAGTTTTCCTCTTCTTTGTAGGCGACATGGCTGAACGAAGGGAGAGGCTTTTAAAACTGACTCAAGACAAGAGAGTAAATAGAAGACTGGTGCGAGCTCCGCAGGCCACGAGGATGGGCCCGCCGACCAGTTCGGGCGATGCTTCTAGCGGGTCCCCGGGCTCCCCTGACGCCGAGCAGCCCACTAAGCTGATTGCGAGAAAGAGAAGTCGGACAGATAATAGGTCGGAGGTTGGCGACGAGTCTGTCGCTGCAAGGGCCTTCGGCTTACCCCCATGTTTCAAAGAGGAAGATTTCTTCGAGGGGTTTCCCCTAACAGTGAGCAACAAGGAGGCCGAGACCATCAGGCGGCTCAACAAAGAAAGCCGGAGAAAACACCTGGCCGCCAGTATGGTCGGGATGGTGAAGATGGCCGAGATGGCCGTTGTCCTTGCTGAGGAGGGGTCGGACTCCTCGGATCGCGTCAGGGAGTTGGAGTCGGAGAAGGTTGTCCTTGCTGTCGGCTCTCGTAAGTTGAAGGCTGCCCTCGAGCGATCTGAGGAAATGTTCCGCGAACAAGCCGACCTGCTGGCGGCGGAGAAGGAAAACTCTAGGAAGGTTGCTGAGGAGAGGGATTGTCTTCGGCTGGATAGGGAATGCTTGGAGACCGACAACGAACGTTTGTCTAAGGAGGTCGAGAAGCTGAAAGCTGCCATGCTTCCTGCTGAAGATGAGTCGGAGGATACAGCCCCCTTGCGGAGCCGTTCGGATCTGGTCGTGCGTATCCATCTCCTCGAAACAGACTGTGTCGATGCTTTAGCGGACGGGTTTGAGGCTGCGGTCAGCCAGCTCTCCATATTGAATCTGGGCATGAATACCGAGGGAGTGGGTTTCATGTCTCATATTATTGACGGTCAGGTCGTGCCTCCTCCTGAGTCTCCTGTGGTGGATGCTGGCAGTCCCGGGAACGTTTAGTAGTGGAGTTTCTGGTCAGGCCTGCGTGCCCGTTTATTGGTATTTGTTTTGGGGCATGCGTGCCCATGCTTATTTTTGGGGCTTGCGTGCCCGTACATATTTCTTTTGGCTGTTTTGCCATAGCATGTAACTCCGAACATCGCCTGCCTTTTTGGTCGGTTCATTTTTATTCGTTTTGTGTATGAGCTTTTAAATGGATGTTCATTTTAACTTTAAACTTGCTCGTGTCTAAGTTTTATATTGTGACGAAATTTGTCTAAATTATGTCCTCGAGCCACGCTTGTGTTCGGCTGTTACTTTGTGGCGAAATTTGCCTAAGTTATGTCCTCGAGCCATACTTGTGTTCGGCTGTTACTTTATGGCGAAATTTGCCTAAGT